CACATTCGGCTTTCCACTCTTTGGCTTCCATCTAGAATAAGGGTGGGTGATGGCACTACGGATCTCCTCAGCAATAGTAGGCATTTCTTCTCTATAAAGGCCTCTTGTTGCATAAGGTTGCATCTTAGTAAATGTCTGTGCAAAGTGGCAACTCCTGCGACGATAATGGGTAGTCCCAAGGAACTGCTCTATTGTTGCAGATGAAAAAGAGACTTGTTGTCCTCTCACCCAACTCTTTCGAGTGGTATCCACCGTCTCCAAATCAGCATTTGCACAAAATTCTTTCAGTATTGTGCTGGTGCTCGGTGCAGGAAATCTCACCCACTTCTCTGTTTTCCTCCTCTTTGCTGTGAGTCTAATTGGACAATCACTATCCATATAGGCACTGATTGGCCTTTCAGATATGATTTTCTTTGGAATGAACCACTTGTAGTACCGGTCTTGAGCTTCAGGTGATAAAAACCGAGTACTGTCAAAGACAGATGAAGAAGAGGTCCTGGGTCTCTTTGTGCCAGCAACACTACTCTCTCCTGTTTTCTTGCTGGAGCCAGAGCCCTTTGTGGTCTTTTTACCCTGCTTTCCCTTGTCTCCTGCCATTGATGAATTTGTGAACTTCAAAAATTAGAAACCCTAGCTTTGAATAAATTGTAATGAGAATCCAAAATTCCTACCCAAAGTGGAACCCTAGCTTTGAACGTGTAGCTTGGTGGTTATGGGTGAGATGAAGAAGGTGGTGGTTGACGGTGGTTGAATGTTGGTGACCAGTTTGGAAGAAGATGGGTGGGGTTGGTTGGGAGAGGGCTGTCGTACGGTGGCTGTGGGTTGTGGTTGGGGGAAAGACGAAGGATGTGGTGGTGATTCACGGTGGAAGACGGTGGTGATTTGTGGACGATCGGTGAGAGAGAGAAGAGTGAGAGAGAAAGAGAGGGAGAGATAGAGATGAAGATCGGCGGGGAGGGGGGGAAAATTGGGAACAAAGAAAAAAAATTTAGGTTTTCTATTTTAAAAACCTGACTTTGGGGTCCACGCTCAGAGCGTGACTCCCACGCTGACGGCATGGATGGTTCTGTTTTACCACGCTCGTAGCGTCCATACCACGCTTATAGCGTGGGACTTCTTTCACATGTCTCACGCTTAGAGCGTGGATCTGACGCCAGTAACGTCAGTTCACAGTTCCTAGCTTGTTTCTCTCTAATCCTAAAATAAAATTAAAATGACTAGACTACTCTTCTTGCTGGGTTGCCTCCCAGTTAGCGCTTGTTTAACGTCACGAGCCTGACGGGAACCGTTTAAGATTCAGGTGAAGCCAAAGGGACGGAAATTGTGTCCCTATTCACATGTTCTCCATGATAGAATTTTAATCTACTCCCATTGACCTTGAATGGTCTTTCAGCATCGAGAGGGGAGATTTCAATCGTACCATATGGAAATATGTTTTCACAATAAAAGGTCCAGACCAACGAGATTTGAGTTTACCTGGAAACAACCTCAGTCGAGAGTTGTACAGTAATACCTGTTGTCCGGGCACAAATTCCTTGTGCTGAATCTTCCTGTCGTGCCACTTCTTTGTTTTATCTTTGTAAATTCTGGAACTCTCAAACGCAGAATTTCTGAACTCATCAAGCTCACTCAATTGAGCCTGTCTTTTCTCCAAAGCTTTTGTTGAATCGAAATTTAGGAATTTGATAGCCCAGAAAGCTTTATGTTCCAGTTCCACAGGTAGATGGCAAGATTTTCCAAATACCATCTGATAAGGTGACGTGCCAATAGGAGTTTTGAAAGCAGTCCTATAAGCCCACAAAGCATCATCTAGCTGCTTGGACCAATCCTTCAAAGAATTTCCAACGGTTTTCTCAAGAATCCTCTTCAACTCTCTGTTAGAGACCTCCACTTGTCCGCTGGTTTGAGGATGGTAAGGTGTAGCAACCTTATGTTTAACACCATACTTAACCAGTAAGTTATCAACCTGTTTGTTGCAAAAGTGAGTCCCTCCATCACTGATTATTGCCCTTGGTACACCAAACCTTGTGAAGATGTTCTTTCTCAAGAAATTGACAACCACCTTAGCATCATTAGTGGGAAGAGCAACAACCTCAACCCACTTAGAGACATAGTTAACAACACCAAGGATGTATTGATTGGAATATGATGAAGGAAATGGCCCCATGAAATCTATCCCCCACACATCAAAGAGCTCTACCTCTAATATATTATTCAGAGGCATTTCATCTTTGCGGGAAATATTGTCCACTTTTTGGCATCTGTCACATCTTTCAACAAAATCCCTTGCATCCTTGAATAACGTAGGCCAGTAGTAACCACTCTGAAGAACTTTTTGAGCAGTTCTGTTGCCTCCAAAGTGTCCTCCGTAGTCAGATGCATGGCAGTGCCATAGGATCTCATGAACTTCAAATTCGGGCACACACTGTCTTATAATTCCATCAGCACACTGGAAATACACGTAAGGATCATCCCAACGAAACCTCCTTGCATCTCTGAGGAACTTCTTCTGTTGTTGCCTTGTAAGATTGGGAGGCAACTCTTTTATCACCTTGTAATTGGCAATATCTGCAAACCAAGGAGGTACGAATATCGCCATTACTTTTTCATCAGGAAAATGGTCATTTATTTCCTTCTCAGGACCATCTTGTAGTTCTTTTTCCTGAATCCGTGACAAGTGATCTGCCACCTTGTTCTCCACTCCAGCTTTATCCCGGATCTCCATGTCAAACTCTTGAAATAAGAGCATCCATCTGAGCAACCGAGGCTTTGCATCTTGCTTATTCATTAAATACTTGATACCAGTGGTCAGTAAACAACACCATAACCTTGGACCCCAACAGATAAGATCTAAATTTGTCTAATGCATATACTACTGCTAGCATTTCCTTCTCAGTGGTGGCATAATTTACTTGTGCCTCATTTAAAATTTTGCTGGAGTAGTATATAACATGTAACAATTTATTCCTCCGTTGTCCAAGGACTGCACCTATAGCATAGGCACTAGCATCACACATAAGCTCAAAGGGTAAACTCCAATCAGGAGCTACTAAAACAGGAGCTGTGGTGAGCTTTTCTTTTAACAGATTAAAAGCTTTAAGACATGCATCATCAAATCAAAATTCAGAATCTTTTTCTAAAAGTTGGCTTAAAGGTTTAGCTATTTTAGAAAAATCTTTTATAAATCTCCTATAAAACCCAGCATGTCCTAGAAAACTTCTAACACTAGTCACATTATTAGAGGGAGGTAATTTCTCAATTAACATCAATTTAGCTTCATCTGCCTCAATCCCTTTTTCAGATATCTTATGTCCTAAAACAATTCCCTCTTGTACCATAAAATGACATTTTTCCCAGTTTAGTACAAAATTTGTTTCTTGGCATCTTTTTAACACATGAATTAAATTTAGCAAACATAAATCAAAGCAAGAGCCAAAACAGAAAAGTCGTCCATGAATACCTCCAGGTTTTTCTCCACCATGTCAGAAAAGATGAAGAGCATGCACCTTTGAAATGTAGCAGGTGCATTACATAGACCGAATGACATTCGTCTATAAGCAAAAACTCCAAAAGGGTAGGTGAAAGCTGTTTTCTCTTAGTCCTCCGGTGCCACTGGAATTTGGTTGTATCCAGAATATCCGTCCAAGAAGCAGTAATAGTTGTGACCTGCCAGTCTTTCCAACATTTGATCAACAAAAGGAAGTGGAAAGTGGTCCTTCCTTGTAGCTGTATTTAGTCTTCGGTAGTCCACACACATTCTCCAACCAGTAATGGTTCTAGTTGGAATCAGCTCATTTTTCTCATTGTGAACTACTGTGATACCTCCCTTTATCGGAACAGTCTGCACTGGGCTCACCCAAGCAGTATCCGAAATTGGATAAATCATGCCAGCATCAAGAAGTTTCACAACTTCTTTCCTTACGACCTCCTTCATTGTTGGATTAAGCCTCCTTTGAGGTTGTCTCACTGGCTGAACCTCATCTTCCATGAGGATTTTATGTGAACAGAATGAGGGATTAATACCCTTTAAATCAGAAATAGACCACCCTATAGCAGTCTTGTGTTCTTTCAACACCTCAACCAGTTTTGTCTCTTGTTCAGAAGACAATCCCTTGTTAATGAAAACAGGGTAAGTCTCCTTCTCACCCAAGAAGATATACTTGAGAGTTTCTGGAAGCTCCTTCAACTCTACCTTTGGTGTACCATCTTCCTTGTCAGAATCTTTCATTTCAAGGACTTCAAATAACTCATTTTTTTCTTCCTTGAAAGGAACCATTTCATGCACCTGAAGCTCTTCCTCAGATTGTTGAATGGAAAATACTTCTTCTTCCACCACTTGATCTAGAATATCAAGACGAAAGCAACCGCCTTTATCAGAAGATTGTTTCATAGAGTCAAAAACATTGATGGTGATAGTCTCATCATTCATTCTTAACTCTAACCTGCCATTCTCAACATCAATCATGGCTCGAGCAGTCGCCAAGAAAGGTCTTCCCAATAATAAGGGCATTTCAGTACCCTCTTCCATATCTAATACTACAAAATCAGCTGGAAAGATGAACTTATCCACCTTGACAAGCACATCTTCAATAATACAACTTGGTCTCCTCAAAGATCTATCAGCAAGTTGTAGAGAAACCATAGTGGGTTTTAACTTAGTAATTCCCAGAGATTTGCAAACAGATAACGACATCAGATTAATACTTGCCCCAAGATCACATAGAGCTCTGCCAACATCAGTGTTACCGATAGCAATTGGAATATTGAAGTTTCCCGGATCACTGAGTTTAGGTGGGAACTTCTTTTGTATAATGGCACTACACTCTTCAGTGAGTGTTACTGTTTGACACTCCTGTAGCTTATGTTTCCATGACAACAAGTCCTTCATGAATTTTGCATAATTTGGCATGCCAGCCAAGGCTTCAGCAAAAGGAATATTTATATGCAGCTTCTTGAAGATATCCAAGAATCTTGCATACTACTATTTCTGAGCGTCTTTTTTAAACCTTTCTGGGTAAGGTGCCATAGCTCTCACATTCTGGCTTCAGCTCGAATTTCTTTTTCTCAGCAACAGTTATTTGTGGCTCCTCTTCCTCACCTTTTTGAACAGGTGTCTCAACATCAGAAGGAATAACCACTTCTTCTTCTACCTCCTTACCTTTTCCAATAGCGTCCGCATTTCCGGTTGGCTTTGTTGGAGCTGCCACCACCTTGCCACTTCTTGTAGTTATAGCCATAAAATCATCCTTCAGATTAGTAACTATATTGCTAGGGAAAGTGCCTGGAGTTCTTTCGGCCATCTGTTTAGCAATCTGGTTTTCCAAATTTCTGATAGAGGCTTGTGTGTTTCTAGTGTTTGCCCGAGTCTCTTCCATAAAAGCATTGGAGTGTTGGGCCATTTGTCCCACTAGCTTCTCTAACTCAGAAGGTTCCTTCGGTTGAACTGGCGGTGGCTGCAAATAGTTATTGAACTGGCGGCCATTTGTTCCCAGAAGGAAAATTATGAGTTCTTGGAACATTTTATGGAGAGGGTCTCTGATCATACCACACACCATTTATATGTACCTGCTGAGGAGGATCATCGGCTAGCAGAGTAGGACATTCATTGGATTCATGATCTTCCTTGCAATATTCACAGACAACTGCTGCAGCTTGAGCTTGAACGCTAGAAAATTGCATCTTATCAAGCCTTGATGTCAAGTTTGCTACCTGCTGAGATAACAAACTATTTTCAGCCATCACCACATCAGTGCCTTCCAGTTTAAGAATACCTCTTTTAGCCTTGGATGACAACGCTTGGTTTTCGTTGGCAGCCATCCTCTCAATCAACTCAAGAGTCTCATTTGCTCTTAGAGTTTTAATAGTGCCCCCTGCTGCACCATTTAGCACCATCCGAATCTCAGGTTTGCAACCATTGAAAAAGATTCTAACCTGACTACCAGCAGTCAAGTTATACTGAGGACACCTTCTCGTCAAGTCCTTGAACCAGTTCCATACTTCACACATTGATTCACCCTCTGATTGAGTGAAATTGGTGATATCATTCACCATCTGGTTATACTTCTCCATCGAGAAGAACTGAGCAAAGAACTTCTGTGATAAATCATCCCAGGTTGAGATGCTTGCTGCAGGCTGCTTTTCCAACCAACTAAGAGCCTTTCCTTTAAGAGCAAAAGGAAATAGTCTCAGCCGAACTGCATGATTAGACACTTGAGGATGTTTTGTAGAATCACAGATCATCGGGAATCTGTTTATGAATCTATGACGGTCTTCATCATCCTCTCCACCAAACTGCTCTCTCTCCACCAGTCGAATATTATCGGACTTGAGCTCCCAATGATTGTTGCCCATTTCAGGATGAACAATGCTCGCATTGGGTCTGTTGAATAATGGAGTCATAATAGTGTCCATGAGTGGATTGTCAGCATCATTGTTGTTTGTCATTTTATCTTCTTCTACCAGAATATCTAACTCGTTGAATACAAGTTTCTTCCGAGCAAATTTTCTGTTTTTCTTCTCTGTTTTTGTGATCTCCAAATCAAGTGGAAACTCGGGCTCTTTATCTCGCATACAACTTAGAAAAGAGATTAGTAGCACTTGCTCCAAATATCACAAAAAATTCAAAAATAAAAATAAATATCCAATCTTAAAATCAAAATCAATTGATATAAGAAACGCCAATCCCCGGCAACGGCACCAAAAACTTGATGCTCTCTGGCAAGAATACCGATCGCACAAGTAATATAATGATAAGTAGAGTATCGTCTCCACAGGGATTGGGTCGAATATCAATTAATAATTCTTTTCAAGAATGGATGAGTTCAATTGGTTTTGACAAATATTGTCGATTTGTGTGAAATCGAGAACTGAAAATAAGGCTTGTTTTTGTAATTTTTGTATTGAATAAAAAGAATAAGAACAAAGATGAAATTTTTGTAATTGAGAGAAAGAATTGTAGCCAGAGCGCACTCACCTTATGATCCCCACTTATTACTTTGGACTGATTTAAAAATACTTATTCATATAAATACTCAGATAATTATCATCTAGAATTTATTAGTTAAATTCCAATCCCTTGGCAATTTAACCCTTTAACCTCAGTCGGAATCCTAATCTCTTAGTAACCCCTCATGAAAATTAAGCAATGAACACGATAATTCAAACATCTGCAATTAACATACGTCTATTCCTAGTACGCATATGAATTGTTACTTTACCCCATTTCAAGATGAAAACCCCAATATTCCTATCTAGGGTTATAAACCTCAAACTATCCTCAACTATTAGATTGATCAAGTCTAACAAAGAAGATATAAAATACGCACAAGGTAAAGATAAAGATAATTATATAAACGAAAAACCATAAATCAATCCATCGTAACAAGGGTTCACATAGGGTTCGTGACCCTAACAACAATAAAAGTAAAACTTAGCCAACCATATTCATGGCTAATAAATCAATATTCAATATTCAATGGGATGAAAAAGAATGAGAGATGAAAGAATGAAGATGATCAAGAATTCTTCTCTGAAGCTCTTCTCCTTCAACACGACGGTCTCCTCCGGTCTCAATACCTAATTCTGTGCTGAGCCTCCTTTTTATAATACTCTTTTAGGTCTTCCAAGTTTACCCTTGCAAACAAAACAGAAGTGCAGTCTCGCACGCTGACGCTCTCAGAGTCAGATCCACGCTGTGGGCGTGGATGCCTCTGGATGCCCACGCTGTCAGCTTGATATCCACGCTGTGGGCGTGGGAAGAAGGAAATTTTTCACGCTATCAGCGTTGAATCCACGCTGTGGGCGTGGTTGACTCTGGATTCCCACGCTACCAGCGTGACATTCACGCTGTGAGCGTGGGTCTTTACTTTGGAAAATCCTCATTTTGCTCCAGATTTGTTTGCTTTTCCTACAAGTTAAGCATAAAATCAATTGTACAATTCTGAAATTGGAATTTATGCAAAGCAACACTAAACGTTGCCTTTTTACTTAGAATTAACCCATAATCTTTCTCTTTTTGGCTTGAATTTACCCATGTGCTGAAGGCACATCAGTTATCATAAATTTTTGCCAATAAATTTTATGACATACAACACTCCAAAACATCATTCTAAGACATATTTATCTAATACACATTTTCAATTTGAGTTCTCCAACTACATCAATTCATGCAAAATTACTCTAGGTTGGTTTAGGGCTCCTCCACAACATACTAAACCATTGGAGCATCAAACAACTCCATGAGTGCAAATCTTCGCCCCTAGGTCGCGGGTTTGGGGGAGGGATTTCTCAAAATCTAGTGGGTTTCAAGGCTTAATACTACCACCAATGTGTTTGGAGGTGATTTCCAATAAATTTCATGACAAATTTCACTTGATTTGATGAAATTAGAAGAGAAAGAAAATTGAAATGAAAATGAGGGTGGGAGAGGGGAAGGGTCGCGAGTTTAGAGAGAGGGAGTGAGTGTGAGGGATGATGAATAGTGACTTAACTTAGGTGTCTTAAGTGACTTAACTGAGGTGGGCCCCACCGCCACCTCACGCGATTTCAAACTAATTCGAATTTCCCTCTGATTCCACTAAACGTTCGTAATTTCATAACCTATTTAGAAACTCTAATTTCTAACATTAACCATTGTACTTTAATTACCATTGATCAGATGAATCCGGAGTTTTTCGGTCGTTCGGAGAAATTGCGGTTTTAAGTTGTTACGCGCGTCGTGTGCACGCTTCCCTAAACTTACTAATTTCCATCAAATTTCATCAGAAATCATATTTCCTAATCCTATATACCATTTATAACTTGTATTCAAAACCTAGAGCTTAAAACTCATTTGGCACGCTTTACGGTGCAACTGTACCGCTGTACTTTTACCGGGTAAAAATACTATTCACTGAATTTTCTGAAACTTGCCTACCCACTCAATTTTTTGTTCTGAATCCATTTCCAGGGTTTTTTTTTATCATTTGAGACTTCCTACTCAATTTTATCTTCTTAGGATTGCGTGTTTGGTTAATTACCGTTTTACCATTCCTTTGTATTTTGACATGATTTTCAGGATTTTCACTAATCCTTCCCTTTAATCCATGTTTAATATATTAATATATAATTTAGAAATGCGAGGTGTTATACCAACCGATGATTTCCGTCCATTAACGATTGAAATGTGTAGTAAGACTTGTTAGTCTTACACTGGTGTAAAAAGAATCTGCCGCATATATACTCTAAATCTCTCATCGATGATTTCATTCCAATTTAATTGTTTAAAATGCTAAAACTTAACCCAAAAAAAGAGAGAATTTGATTCTAGTTTTTATATTAACAAAAGAAAATAATAAATATTATTAAGAAACAATTATTTTTAAAAACATTTACATAATTTTCAAATTTTAAATGTATATAGAAATATCATAATGATATCCGGTGCAAGAATTTAATATTTCTAATATAAATATTATTAATAATTTATTCGCACATCAATTATAAAACAAAAATAATTTAGGGGATCAAGGTGTAACACCCGTATATACCCGATATATTAATTTATTATGATATTAAGTGCAGCAAAAAAATTAAGAATCATTAAGAAAATAATTTTTCTTTTCACTTACATTAATGACTCAACCATTTATTCTCATACAAAAGTATGAGTTAACTTTTTCCGATCATAAATATGTTATTAAACTCAACTTGAATCATTCACACTTTAAATAGTGTATATATTTGCTTAACCACTTCAATCTTCAATGCTTAAAGCTTAAACAATACTTAAGTGATTGGTACTCATATTGAGACTCTAATCATAGTGGGAGAGGCTAAACTAACTCCTCTAGGGTCAAATACCCTTAGATAAAGCACAACAACTCATTAGAAGTGAGTTTCGGCCTCACAAAGCATGAGTTATCGATTATAGCCCGAAAATTGATTGAATACTCCACTATCACCAGCAAGTATTGGATTACCTCAAGCAAGTAATCAATTATTTTCCTTAAGTATTCTAATACTTCATGAAAGTATTCGAATACTTTCAAGACAATGGCTCAAAATGGAGGAAAAATAAACTAGAAGACCTATGCCCCTAGCGTGAAATGGGTAAAATCTCCCTGTTTAATCGCGCGCTCAGCGTGAAATAACATTGCTAGCACAAAATTGGGAAATTATTGTTGTTTGCTCGTGCAACCAGTGCAAAATGGTGCCTTCAATGCGGATGTGCAAGGCAAATCCAAAATTGTGTTGTTTGCTGCATGATGGGCTATGGAATCCCCTCCAAAGCCCAAGTTGCCACCTAATTAGCAATTCCTCGTATAAAAAATATAAGCCTAGTTATCTAATAGCTTAGTATGCAATATTCATCCATGGATTCATCAAAATTGGCTTCAAGTAATCACATATTCATCACATGCATTTTCCTACACATGTTTAATGAAATATATAATAATATAAACAATTAAGTTGAGTAATTGAGAATTAATTAGTGATTAAAAGAGACGGATTAGATGAAAAATCTAATTATGCACTTTAAGTTACTTTTCGGGGCAAAAATACAAATAATGAAATATTTGGGATAAAAGTGTAATTAAGCAAAACTTACCTAAAACTTAGAAATGATTTTGTGGGAAACTATTTGATGAATTTCATGAGTTCAAAACACGTTAGTTGTTCTATCTTAGTGGTTAGAAGAGAATTAAGGAAGAAGGGAAAATGAGTAAATTGCTAAGTGGAAGTTTCATTAAAGTCAAAGTAACATTAAACACACTTAATCCCTTTCATTTTTTTTCACAAAACTTCATCTCCAACGTGAGTTTCTTTGCTCCATGGGGACCTCCATCTTCTTCAAGCTTAAGAAAATCTACTTTTGTTTAAGTCATTGAAATGCTTAGCTTCCTTCATAAAAGTTGTCAACCTAGAAGCGTTGTGTAGGAAGAAAATCCACTTCTTAGAGTGAGAAGCCACTTTGGTATTTGTGTAAGAAGAGGGTTTTCATTTCTTTGAAGCATGGAAATCACTCCTACTACCATTGTTTGGAGCTTTAAGGTAAAAAGACACCATCTCTCTTGAGTTTTCATAGACTTTTGAATAATCAAGGGTTTGGAAAATAATGGGTTTTGTAGTTTATGAAATTGAAAAATATTATCGCTTTAAGGTACAGTTGCACCGAAAATTTGAAAAATGAGATTATCGCTCTAGGATTGAATATATGTTAGAAAAGTTACTTAGTTTAAAGAAATATGATTAGTGGTATAATTTGATGAATTTTAGGATTTTTTGAGAAACGCACCAACGGTGCACCACTAGGGGTAAAATAGTAATTTCACCAAATTACTGGGAAACTCTATATTCATCTGTTCAAGCGTATTTAAGGGACTTTGGTGAATGTTAAATTTTTCATTTAATGTATAGTTCATGAATTAATTGGTGATTAGTAGGTTAAGTGGATAATTTAAGTG